GGACGGAGGCTTTGGTGTGTCGCAGTTGTTTTTGCGGTCCAGGAAAAGCCTCAGGAAGGGGAAACGAGCACCTCGAACACAACTGATTGCCTCCACTCAACTACCTATTCGTCTTGCTTTTATTGTACTTTGAACAAGTTCCACGGCTATTCAGAGTGATTTACAATGACTTTGTGGTTTGGTGGGCCTTTTAGATGGAGTTTGAACTAAAAAAAATATGAACTCGTTAAATTTTGAGGTGTATCTTAATTGATGGATCATCAGGAAGATGAATCGACAAAAAAACGGTTCGAAAAAAAATAGCCGAGAAAAAGAGAAAATAATTGCAGCAAATGCGCCCTATGGATAATCGGAACGATATTTCTAGAAAATACGTTTTATCGCCGGCTCAACATTCGTCTTGCTTTTAGTGTACTTTGAACAAGTTATACGGCTATTCCGAGTGCCTTACAATGAGTATGTGGTTTGGTGGGTCTTTTAGTTAGAGTTTGAACTAAAAAAAATATGAACTCGTTAAATTTTGAGGTATATCTTTATTGATGAATCATCAGGGAGTTAAACCGACAAGATACCGTTTCGAAAAAAATAGCCGAGGAAAATGGGGAAAAATGGTAGCAAATGCGCCCTATTGATAACCGGAACTTTTTTAAAATTTTCACTGTTGTACTCTGAGCAAGTTCTTTTTTTCAGTGATCTTCAAAGGCTTTTTGGTTTGGTAGGTGAATTTTCAGGTGGGTTTTGAACCCGATAACTGACATTTTACTCCAATAAAAACACTAAAAACCGAAAGATCATTTCCGAAATGAAAAAGCCGAAGAAAAATAGAATGAACGATCTCAAGAGAAATAACCTTGGAGCGCACAAGTTTGGATGTGAACTCTATTTATTTTTCATTGAAAAAAAGATTTTTGAGTTCCATTTTTAACCGAACTTCTTGGATTTGAACAAGTTCGACGGCTATTTGGAGGGATTAACAAGGAAATTGTGCCTTCGAACGCGACTGTTGAGTTACACCTTTTGGGGACTTCAGAAAAAACACAAATTTGCCGTTTTAAAACAAAATAGCCGTTGAAAAGGGATGAAGATATCATTTTAGGAATTATTTAGAAAAAAATATTTTTTTGTGACGTAAATAAAAAGCCGTCGTAGCAATTTTTTTCAAAAACTAAGGATAGTTTTTTTCTAATCGTCTTGAAACGTATTCTGTCCATCTTTTTGAAATGAAATGGTCTCCAAAAAAATGTTCTGTAGGGTTATATCAATACCCTATAACTTAAATTTTTTTCTTATGAGATTGAAAAATCGGAAAAAGACCCGAAAAAAATGTTCAAAACAAGTTGAAAAACATTTTTTTGGAATTCTATGAATTTTTCATGAAAGGGTATTTTTGAAAGAATCCAAAAAAAGGCTGGAAACTAGATCTCAGAAAAATAAGTTCATTAAATCTACTAAGGAAAAACACTTGAAAAAAACCAAAACAACAAAATTTGAAGGGAAAGAGCAAAACACAGGGAATAAAATAGGCACGGGGTATCTTTTTTCACCGAACAAATATCGAAAAGCCGTCAAGTGGTCAATAAATAACCCCATTTTATTGGTTTTTTTTTTCTTGGTCTCATCGAGGCTGTTCCAATATGTATTTAGCATGTTCTTTCTGAAACTCGAGTGGTACAATACTAGACACAAAAAGGAGACAATGAGAAAAAGGATGCTTTGGGGATCAGAAAAATGAATTTTTGAAGCTTTTTCATGAAAAACTTGATCTTTATTATCATCATTTGGAGTCAAAAATGATCATGGGGTTCCAAAAAATAAAAATAAAATCTAAAAAAAACGGAATATAACGCCGAAAAAAATAAAAAAAAGCTATTTTTTTGAGAAAAAAAGATTGATCAGGAAAAAAATTTTTCTCATTATCCTCACTTGTTATCAAAAATAACCATATCATTTTTGAGAAAAAAAAGGGGGAAAATGTTCTTGAAAAAAATCGAGAAAATCTCATTTTAAAAAAACAGAATTTTGAAGCCTTCTATGAAAAAAATTGACTTCCCTATCATACAATCAAAAAAACATATAACTTTTTTTAAAGCGATAAAAAAATCAAGAAACCGAGAAGAACACTAAAAAAATCTGTTAAAGAAATGAATTTTCGAGGATTTCCATGGAAAAACTTGACGCCATTATCATCATTTAGATTTAAGAAATTGAAAATTTTAGAAATAAAGCGGAAGAAAAAGTTTCAAAAAATCGAGAACACCTAAAATGAAAAGAAATGAATTTTCAAAGCTTTCTATAAAAAAAACTTAACCTCATTATCATCGTTTAGATCCAAAAAAGCCATAATTGAACAGGAAAAAGGTTTTAAAAAAATCGAGAACGCCTCGAAACAAGAATTAATAATTTTTTAGAGCCTCCTAGCAATTCAAAAATTGGTCTCATTAACCCCAATTCAAAACAAAAATAACCATCAAAAAGCCAAAAAACCAAAGAAACACAAGACTTGTGTTTTATTTCGTTGTTTTCCTTAAAAGCTCTGGAAAAAAAAATCCGGCAATCTCTTTCATTATTTATTCGATTCGGCTTTAATTCCTTGTTTTGGTTAACAAGGGAAAACCGAATCTCAGAAATACATGGGATAATCTTAGCTTTCGAAAAAAATTATAATATCATTCATTCAGGAAAAATAATTTTGAAATGGAAAAAAACTGTTCGAACTTGGTGACAACTTTTTTGACCAGAAATGAAGAAATGAAGGTTTTTTTAAAAAATGGACTCAGTGGTTTTTTAAAACACATTCAAGAAGTTGAAAAAGCTTTTTACCATCAGTAAATCCACAAAGGTCGGCTCTCATTACCGTGCCCCCATTGCAATGAATCGCGCCACCATTGCATTAAGCCATGCTCACCAACCTCATCTTCTTTTTTGAATTATGAGCTCCAGGAAGAAAATCTAATCAAATTTGAACTACTATCAACCTGACTTTTTTCAACAGTAAAGAAAAAAATGAGATTTTTTCAAACGATCAAAAATTTCTCTATTGCATTCAGTTCAACTAGAAACGCCCTGCTCGCATTTGGAATGGCTTAGCGCGACGAGGTCGCGTTGCGGCTTAGGAATTCGGAGAATGACCTCTACGTCTCACTAAACAGTTATTCAATTTTATTAAAATTAAATTCTGACCGGCCACGGAAAAAAAAAATCGCGCTTTTGAGTCAACCGCGACGCAGCGGCTACGCTTTGAGCCATTCTACATGCGACCAGATGTGTTGCCGGAAAAAAGAGAAGCTCTAGATTATTATCTTTCAAAGGTCTGACTGAATAAGAGGAAACGAGAGGGAAGAGAGCGCAGAGAAATCATACTGTCACAATTTGGCGTACTCGAACGATATACTTTGGACTGAAAATTGGAAAAAAAAAACTAAAAGAATCAAATAAGAGATCATTCAGAAGTTCCTGAACAAAAGCTTCCGGTCATTCCCTCTTGAAGATCCAACTAAAAATCGTCGACGAGAGGGAAGAGAGCGCAGAGAAATCATACTTTTCTACGTTAAGTCGAACTGGAACGATGTAAGTTGGACTTGGAAAAATTACTAAAACGTTAATAATGATGACTTTCCAAAATAATCTGAACAGAAGCTTCAGATCAATCTCCCTAGAAGGTCAAATTGGGAACAAAGTCAGGTCAAGTCAAGTGAACGAGAATAGGAGCAAAGAGGAGGGGAGCGGAGGAGCCACGTAATTGAAGAATTGGGGCTCATACACGCTTCGTCGCGCACCTCGGCCAAGATTGCCGACGGCTTCAAGAGGCCAAGGTGCAATCCGGGGAGGATGAGCTTTCAAGTGGCTTCTCGGATTTCTGATGTCCCGTTTCTGACTTCTTGTGATGATCTACAAGGTGCCAAGAAAATATACAGCTTTTTGAAAGAAAAAAAAAATTTCGCTCAAAACTTTGAAAGTTTTTGTCTTTCTGAAACTTCTGGAAAACATTTTTTTATTAATTTTTTTGAGTTCTAGCTTATTTTTTTGAAATCTAAAAAAAATCCGTGAAAATCAAAAAAATAATAAGAGAAATTTTTTACTGGAACATAAATAATAAGAAACTAGGGTTCAAATTTTTTTGTCCTATAATTTGCGGTAAACTTCGTAATTTCTTAAAAAAACGCCTTTTTTTCGATTTATGAAAATAAAAAAATAAATGGTACACAAACAAAGTCATTAGACGATTCAAAAAGCGAGAAAAAAAATTCGAAAAAATTAAGATGTTAATAAAATTCTTTCTCACTAGCGACAGACGTTCAGTAGGAAAAGACGGCTAAGAAAATTCGAAAAAAGTGATTTATCGAGATTTGAAAACCAATTGAAAAAAATTCGAGAGAAATTGGAAAACTTCCTATTTTTGAAAATTTATTCAAAGTTCTTTGAAAACTACAATAAACTACACTGATTAAAAAAAACTAGTCAGTTTTAAATTTTAAAAAAATGTTCGCACTGGGAATGGCTCAACGCGCAACGGTTGCGAGGCGGTTCAAGTTCCAAAAAAATCGTGTATCAAGCCATTCCCAATGCGACCCTTGATTCTTAGTGGGCGGGAATGAACAACAAAACAAATAAAACAAAATAAAATAAAAAGAAGAAAAAGCAATGAAGAGCCTCCGGTCGATTTCATCTCGACGCGATTTCAATTTCGCCAAAAATAGGGCGGAGCCTAGTTTTTCTTGCTACGTGAGACTCCCGACAAATCTCTTCTTTTTTTCTTATTCTTCTTCTTTTTCGTCGAATGGGCTATGGAATAAGGCCTCGGGGCTTTTTTGGAATATGATGAAAAACCTAGACAGCAACAGAAAAAGTATAGTATATTTACGATCGAATGAGAAATTTCTGGAAAAGCAGACATTTTATGAACAAAAAAACCAACGATCAGGCGAAATATTGAAAAAAAAGTGTAGTTTTCTTAAATGCAGCTCAATTTTATCACAAAAAAGTCTTTTGAACAGAGAATGCTAAAGTGGTCGCTGGAGCGGCAAACTTAGAGCCCCTTAAGAGATCAAATTACTTCCCTATAGGGGACACTGAATATTGCAAAAAGTAGCACTTCTAGTGGGGCTTGCTGGTAATATCTATCCGTAACAAATTTTCAAAAGAAGCTCGATTTTTTGAACGATTTCCACTCCAAAATTATCCATTTTCATTTTACCCAAGAAAGAAAAACTTAGGAACAGGTCGAATTTTAAAAAAACAGCCAAGTTTTTTTACTCATATTTGAACAATTTCCGGAAAACTATTATTTAACGGCTGCGTTAGTATGACAATTGCGCGATCAAGGCGGCACACAAAAAATTTTGAAATCTCAACCTAAATGAACTTATATGGAATCATAGGGCTTTTCTCAACCTTCTGCCTACTTTCTCCTACGTAAAATTGAAAAGTCTCTTTTTTAAGTTCATATTTTTGCAAAATAACCACTGGAAATAAATCAAGAGGAAGAATTTTGTTGATAACTGATTTTATTCAAGTGATTTGGACACGTCCAGACCTTTTGTGACGACGTAAAAGCAGGTCTCGTCGTAGGCGAATCCTTCATGTTCGATGAACTCGCCGACTGAAAAAACAGTAATTATCAGACTTGCAAGAAAGATATTTGCAGAAGATAAATTGAACAGAAATACATATTTTTCACAATGAAGTTGAGGATAGTGAGCCTAGGAGCATTTGGAAGATAAAAATTGAAAAAATTCGTTTGAATAAGCTATCAACGTTTGGCCCTTTATGGAGCTCTATTTTTCCACTATAGGGGCTTTCCCCTAGCGACTAAAGTGATCACTCTGGCGTTCCTAGGAAAAAAGTCCAAAAAATCACATTCAACGGGATTGTGGCAGAGTTTGCACTTGAAACAGTCGCGGTGCCATTGGCCGCCGAGGCCTTCAACGCAAGTTTCGAACAGGGGCTTCTCACACCCTATAAATGCAATATTCGATCATTTTTGATTTTTTCAAACGTTCATAGAGAAATTTGCAGTAATGAAAAATAGCGAGAAAAATTCAAAATTTCCACCAGAAACCGTTTCGCCGCGCTACGTGTTACTAGAGTACTGTGGTGACCTCGAAGTCAGAAACTATAATTAAAGTTACGTGAAATAACAATAAAAAGCGGCTCTTCCTCTCGAGATATCTATAGAATTGTCTATGCTCGTTTAAAAATATTAAAAAAAATTTTTTTCTGCATAAATCGAAATAATCCTTTTTATACGACATTGCCGTTTCAAAAACCTTATATTCGAAAAAAACGACAGATTTTTTTCGTTGGATAATAGATTTCGCATAATGTTAAGAATATTAATAAATATTGAATAATTCTACAGAAATTTTCATTTGAAAGCTAGTTTTTTTCTCAACTTTCCAGGTTACATGAGCTGTTCAGATTTTGAAATCCAAGTCTTTTTTTTAGGCTCCGCCCCTACTGGCACGATAAACCAATCAGAGAGCGAGATATCCACAGAGTGTTTCCGAATGACGTAATATTCAAAATCTGAACAGAATATAGTATACTTTTATGATCAAATACGCTATTAGTCTTTTTTGAAAAGGAGGAAGAATGGAAAAACCATGGCACTTTTTGTTCAAATGGACCAAATGACAGTCGAGACAACGAGGCGTTTTCGAGTCCGTGAAAAATTGACGTCTTCCCAGACTAATCTGAGATTTTAAATTTGATCACAATTCCTATTTGAAAACATTTTACCTGACATCCGAAACACCTGAAGTGTCGGCGATGCCAAACAGTGTCCAGGGCCATAATTACTTTCTCCCTAGAAAAATCAATAAAATACTGAAAAACTTTGAATTTGAGTTTAAAAACAAATCGAAACGATTAAGTATTTCATAAATGTACCAATCGAAGAAATCAAAATTTTTGAAAAATCAAGAAAAAAAAATTCTCCAAAAAAATGTTCAAATTGGCGCATTTTTTTGAGCTCTTAAAATGAATATTTTTTTCTAATATTTGAAGATATACCCAATTCAACGTGTATTTGTCAAAAAGTACACTGAAGTGTAACTAAATTATGAACAAAAGGCCTTGAAAAAAGCAAAAAATGGTGAAATTCGTTATTAATTATTTTATACGGTAATTATCGACTTATTCAATAAAGGTTCGATGTTGAAACAAACTAAAAAAATTAAAATAAGACAGAATTGATGAAAATAAATGAAACGAGAGAAATCCATGTTTTTACTACCAAAGATCCTGGTGATTTTAATGGGCGTGGTTTAATGCAATGGTGGCGCGATTTATTGCAATACAGGCGCAGTAATGAGAGCCGACCCTTGTAGATTTACTGGATGGAAAATTGGTTTTAATAATGTTTTTCAAGGCTCCTTCAGTTTCTTGGATGTGTTTTGAAAAACCACTATGTCCATTTCCAAAAAAAACCTTCATTGCTTCATTTCTGGTCAAAAGTTGTCCGCAAGCTTCGCAAAAAGCCGCGTAAGTCTTTTGGAACTTCTCCTTCTCTATGTGAACAGGTTTGGGCTGAATAAGCGAGTTTTTAAGCAATTTTACTGGAACCAACAGTAGCATTCGAAGCTGTCGACGAATTTGAAGAACTCGAGCTCATTTTTGAAGAGAGATTTGTTGGGAATGAGGATAAGTTCACGTTTAAGTGATTTTTTGTGATAATTTTTCAAGACTTTTCAGATTCCCATCAAAAAATGAGTATTTCATCGTAGGATCTTTAATTTTTACTATGTTTAGCTATTTAGAAAGCATGTTTTTTTCGAATTTTTTTATCAAATTTTTAAAAAGAAGGACCCTTTAAATTTCGGAAACCTTTGAAATCCTCTAAAATCACATCTTGACTTTTGAACAAGATTAAATTCTCTAGATGCAGTTTTTCACGCAGATTCTAAATATTCACTTTGAAAATCACCCAGAAAATCTTTGAAAAAAAGTTAAATTTGAACAAAAAAATTGGCTGATTTTTCGAATTTTTCGACTGAAAAAGGAGCTCTAAAAAAATGCTTGGCTTCAGAAGTTCCAAGATTATAAAAATGACATTTTATTACTATCTAAACCAAATCTGTATCTTTTTCAAGAAGATTTTAATTTGAGACTTAAAAATTTCAATTTTTGAGAGTTTCTAGGGATTCTCAATTCTTTCGCGGAAATTTTTAAGCAAAAATTTGGTGGGGTCTCTAAAAAAATGAATCAAGTAAGCTTGGCCTTGTTTGTAAGTCCCAAGCGTGACAATTTTTCCCAAATTAAAAGACAGATTGGGTAGATTGGCAAGGGTGATGCGTTGCGTACGCGTCGCGGCTCTTTGGCGGGAACCTTGAAGTCAAACGAAATCCTGGAAAAATTTCGAAAAAGGCAAGGTTTTTATTATTTTATAACTTTTAATCGTTTAACTAACTTTTTTTAAAGCCTTAAAAAAATTAAAAAGGTATTCAAAAAAACTGTCAAAAAAGAGAAAATTAATTGGCTCGCGTTTGAAATCGAGTTTCCCGCCAGAAAACCGCGCCGCGTACGCAACGCGTCACTTTTTCCAATCCACTTATCTGATTCTTCCAAATAAGGTAGGATTGGCTATAACTGATGACGATTTCTGAACAGATTTATCATAAAATGACTCAACTTTTGAATAATTCAAAGTAATCGATAAATCACCAACAAAAGTTTCAATGAATCGAGCCAAAAAAATGCATACAAAAATATTTATTTCAGAAGGAGTTTCTGATAAAAAATTACAAAGGACAACAGGTACACGGAAACGTCAACGGTCGAGGCACGTTCCGATTTATTTCTTCTTCTTGGACGAAGAAGGTCCGGCCTCGTCGGAATTCTCAGCATTTCTCGCCGACTTCCTCTTTCTCGGCTTGTTGCTGAACAATTTTTGGTCAGAAAAATGGAAAATTTATATTTTTTTCTCGAAATTCGTCTATGAATATTGAGCTTTATATTTTCAATTCTTCGTTTTTAAGATTGATCAATTGAATGTTCTGCTAAGGAACGCCAGAGTGGTCATTAAAGGGGCAACCATCGGGGATCCTGGAGGTTCCCCTCAAGTGACCACTTTACTCCAACTTTAAAGGGCACTAAAGCTTGCAAAAGTGGCCACTTAAGGGGAGCATTTGTCTTTTATTGATATTTTTATTGTAACTATATGAGAAAGTCTATTTTTTTATTTTTTATTTCTTTATCTCCACGTATTTCTGGATCCGTACTTACGGACGCCAGAGTGATCCCTAGAGAGGCCACTTCAAGGGCTTTTTTTAAGTTCCCCTCAAGTGACCACTTTAACCACCTTTTAAAGGGGCACTGAACATTCCAAAAGTGACCACTCTAGGGGTACTTTTTAGGTAAAACTATAGGAAAGCCTGCTAGTCTTCCCTACTTTCAAACCAGAAAAAAACCACTATAGGAACCACTTGAACTTCTGTTACCAATAAGCAGTCCCTAAGCTTTTCCCATAGGGACCAAATCATTTTTCGAGCTCCTTCGGCTTTTTCTCAGGGCCCTATGGCGCTTTGTAGATAATTTTTTTTCTGAGTAGTCACTTTAGGGATCTGCAACTTTCAGACACTTTTTTGTGAGGTTAAAACTCACTTTTCTACTTATTTTTGTTGAAAATTTGGTCAATTATTCCTCCCCCACTATAGTTTGTGTACTGCGAATTTCACCGAACGACATTCCGCTGTTCCGCAAACGTCTTTGCGAAACTCGGTCGTGCTTTCAATTAGTCATATTTTTTGTTGTTCACACTGTTCCATTGGGAAAACGGAAAAGTTAAAAAAAAATTGAAAGCGCAACTGAGATTCGCAAAGACAAATACGCCTCGCGAACGCACGCAGCGGAACAGCGGAATGTCGTTCGGTGAAATTCCAAGTCATGGCCCACAGGCTATAATTGTGTTCCGTAATCGCTCAAGTATGTGCCTGTCTCTCTTTCTATCAAATAAACCATTTTTATAACCCCCCCCCCCCCAAAGCTCACACGTAGCGGAACCCGGGGTACTTCTGGCGGTGCTCCTCCTTGATCCGCTGATGTTCTTCCTGATAGGGCTGTCTCTGGTCGCGGTCCATCAATCTCCAACGCGCGCCTGATTTTCCACGACTTCAACATGATGTTCAGAATTATTCCTACCGATGAACCTGGCGACATCCCCTCTGGAGATCTCATGGCCGATTCTACTGAGACGCTGGCGCTCGTATTTCGAAAAGATCTGGAAGTTACCTTTTTCGTGGTGTTTTACATAGATGCCATACCATATAGGCACTGGGAGGCCTTTTGATTCTCATCTGGGCGACGACGATCGGATCTTCGTCTTCATGAGCTGCAGAAGTATCTCGAGACGTGGAGGGTTCCAGGTGCATGTTGGGGTTGTTCTGCGCGATATTTGACTGGAAAATTCCAGGATATTTGACTGATAGTTCAATCATGGCTGCCTTAGAGAAAGATAATGAAAATTCGCGCTTTACAAAACTGAATAAGGTTCACTAGATGTAGTTTTTGACGCTGATTATGAAAATTATGACATGCAAGGTGAGTATTTTTTGGTCCGAAGCAAATGTATAATTTTATTTTTTTGATATGTTTTTGCGCCTTTTTCCACCAATTTTGATTTTTTTCAGCTCAACTTGGACTCTTTTTACACTTTCCAATCGATAGTTCAAAAAATAATTATTCAATTTACCTCCGGTGGAACTTGAGTCGAGCGGCATTCCAGACATTCCAGACATTGCCAGTTCTCCATCTGACATTATATGGCTCACTTATTATTTTCCGAAATATTTTTTCTTACAATTCAGTCCGAATGGATAGTGAAGATTCATGCTTGATACTGGGGGAGGCATCTCCGTTTGAACATTCATTTCCGCGACCCGGGGAACATCTGAAAAAAAGTTTGCTTGAAAATTCGTTTTCAGTCTGAAAAAGTACCTTGAAACATGATTTTGTGAAAAAAATCTTCTCTTTTTTTCCAGTAAAGTTCTGAACGACTTTTTGGTTTTTCAAGATTTTTAAAACAAAAATTTTTATATTCGATTTTTTTAAGATACATTTTTAACGACTACAGGGTGAAAAAAAAACACAAAAAGTACCGTATTTCAAAAATATTCTACAATATCCTAAGACGATGTGTACTGATACAGTTACTATAACTGCATTACCTATCGATTGATATAAAACCTGCATGGAAAAAAGCTCATTAGATACGCAGGTGTCCCTACCGTAACCCGCTCAGCTCACAGTGGGACTTCTGCATGAGACCCTGTTTTCTAGATGAAGTTTTTCATGCTGATTCCAAATCCGGTCCCAAAATCTGCCAAGGAAGTCTGTGAAAAAAGTTATGGACCCTCAAAAGTCGAATATAGTCTCCGTTCGAGCTCATTTTTGGAGGGTCCATTAATAATAATAATTTATTGACAGATCAGCGTGAACCCTAACGAGTTTATAGATCCCTCTGGTCACGAAAAACCATAAAATGTCTTGAAATAATATTTATGAGCTTGATTTGCTGGTGGCGCGATGAGAACATTTTTGATTTGCTCGGGGAGGATAAGATGATTTTTTTTTGAAAAAAGTTATATGGTTTTCGTGGCCAAAGAGACAGTATACACATACCCTCCAAAAATGATCGAAAACTATGAAATTTTCGGCTTTTGAGGGTCCATAACTTTTTTCACAGATCTTTGTAGCACTGAGACCGGATTTGGAATCACCAATAATAACTACATTTAAAAAACATCTTCAGAAGTCCCACTGTGAGTTGAGACCATTCCCTGGTCAGATGGTATCTTCAAAATCGACATATTTCCAAACTAACCAATCCATTCACCGGCGGGTAGATCGGAACCGGAAACCATCCGAGAAGTCCCATTTTATCTGATTTTTGATTATTTTCAGTACAACTTTTTTCTTACAGTAGAGCAGAAATCCGACTTGATAGCTGATGGCTTCCGTCAGAGTAGGCCTTTCGAAGGAATTGTTCTCTTCTCCGTTCGGAGCGGCAGCAGGAGCAAGAGCCGGAGAAGGAGCAGGAGAAGGAGCAGGAGCAGGAACTTGAGAAGGAGCAGGCGCAGGAGATGGAGCAGGCGCAGGAGAAAGAGCTGGTTCCTGAATTTTTTCATTCGGGAAAGAATGAAAATTCAAAAAATTCTTCAAAGATCTAGATTTATAAAAGTAGCTTTTTGAAAAATATTTGCAAAGGTGGTACATTCGAAGCTAGAAAAAAATGGTTCAAACCGACTTGATACGGTATTTTTTTCTGCTCAAAATTAGACTTTTTGTGAAATATCCGCTATTCGAGACAAAAAAAGAGGTCAATTTGCCCTTCGAGTTGCATTTTTTTCTCAACCTTTTTCTATGTCGAAATCAAGCCTATAACAAAAACTATTCTTTATCATGTAAAAAAATCGACAATTAAGTTTTTTCTTACTAAAAAAAGAGAAATAACAATTTTTTTGAGCTTCGTGTGGTGAACTTTTTAAATAGGAAGATTGAAGAAATTTTTTTGTATGAAATCAATTTTTCGCAAAAAGGAGCTTTTTCCTGGAATAGATCTTTGAGATCGCTTTATAAAAGCACAGCTGAAAAATAGCTACCGTAACCACTAATTTTTCGTTTTTTTGTCCTAAAAAAGTCTCGAGGCGAAGTTTGATGAAATTCGGCATACGGTCTTCTTAGCAGGAAGAAAAGGGCAAGCTGGCGCGGAACGTGACAAAAAAAAATCGGCCCCCACAAGTTTTCAAGCGAGAGAGTGTGAGAGCCGCAGAGACGCCCGACGACGAGAGCGTCGCGTCTCTTCAGCCGCCGTTGATCTCTCGCATGAAAACTTCAGAAGGTCCAAGTTTTTCGTTTTTTTTTTTCAATTAACGATATAGCCTATTCCGCGCCAGCTTGTCACGTTTTTCGTTTGCGCCAAAAAGACCGTATACCAAATCAGATCAAATTTCTGCTTTTTATAACGGCAAGAAACAAAGGTCCTGAAGCGAAAGTTGGTTAAATTTGATGTGGCCTTTTGGCGGAAAGAAAAACGTGACAAGCTGGCGAGAAATGACCTATATCATATTCCAAAAACAGGGCATTCTGGAAATCAGGAGAATCTAAGTATCAAAACGTGCAGAAAATCAAGGCTATTGGGGAAAATACCTAAAATATTGTTATTTTTAAGTTTTCAGATTGACTGAACTCTGTTTGAAAACGAAACAATTCAAAAAAATTACCTATTCTGATTTTATTTCTTTATATGAAGTTCTTGAAACGTACTTCAGGCTGGAAAAAGCAGCCGTTTTTTTCATAATACCCATATTTTTGAAAAATTTTTCAGTTTATTTTTATTTCAGTGTCCAAAACGCCTAGAATTTTCGATTTTGGTTAGTTTTTAAGTGTCGAAAAACCAAGTATTGGCGGCTCAAAATAGGAGATTTTAAGTTTTTTTCAATGAATTTCAAGTCAAACTTTTTAACTAAACCTGGAATATGTAGCGAAATAGTGTACTTTTAAACTTTGAGAACTTTTTTTGGCAAAATAAAAATTCAGAAAAAATTTATTTTTCTGTAAATACAAATACGATTTTCAAAAAAACAGATTTTCGAAACTGGCCATATTATAAAGAAATACATACTTTAAAATCCATTAAACCCTTAATAATTGCCAAAAACTTTTTCTAAATCTGAAAACTTGAAAAATAGACATCAAAAAAAGCGACCGAATTTTCCAGTATTCCGGCAAGAAATTTGAAAAATTCGGAAGTTTCGAAAAATATAAATAAAAGTCATAACTTGCTCAGAAATTCTCTCAACATCTTAAAAATCATTTTTTCCTGATCGGACTCCTCACGAAAAAACGCGACAAACTTGATCCATGCGCTCCAGTTGCGGAGGTCTTTCATCAGTTTCCGGCGTAGTCGGTCGAGGAGCCGGCCCGTGTTTAGCCAGTATGTCGTCGAGCATTCCTGAACATCTCCGATCCGAAATCAATATTCAAGATTCCGTGTAAAGTCTTCACTCTTCTGTGGCTGCTCTCAATTCGAGGCCTAGAGCACGGTCTCCGGGCTCAAACACAAGATCAGCTACATTCGAGCCGTCAAGGCGTAACTGAATAAACTACGCGCAGAAGAACGAGGCTAAGGACAGTAAGACCATGCTTTCAACCATGATCAACTACATTATTGGCTCCTGTTCGGTCAACGGCTGGATACATTGAGCTCAGTGCATGCTTTCCGTAGAAGAGCAATCGCTTCATTGCTAACACTCGAAAGAGTTGTCTTGGGCATCTATCATTTTCCAAGCGCAGAAAAATACTTTAGAAGAACTCATTCGCCTCGACAGCCTCTTCGGCTTGTTCAGACGGGTTCTCCTTTTTCTTCGAACTTCGAACAAAATGTGACGGCTGGGGATTATGAAGTCGTGGTTTCCCCCTCCCAACATTTCTTAAACCCTCTTGGTTGGGTCGAGGCGGGGATCGAACTCGTGACCCTGTGGACCGTTACATCTAACTAAAGCAACAAGATAAATGAAGCAAAGCCTACCGGAAAGATGATCAACGAAAATCGGATTGATTCGCTCAACGGCTTCAACGATCGTCAGGATATGCTTGAAACTCAAGTCCGAGCGCAAGTTTTCCATCTTCAGGCTTTTTTTTCACCCAAGTTCTAAAAAATCATTTAAAATAGCAGCCGGATTTCAGCGAAATCAGATCATTTCGACAAATCTTTCAAGTGAAAATAAGGTTATTCGATGCGATTTTTCAAGCCGGTTTCGAAAAAATTTTTTTAAAAAATGTTTTCAGTTGAAATTAAGCTTGCCGTAGCAGTGTAAGAGGGTCGGAAGTTTTGAAATTTTGAAAGCATATTCAAAAAAATGAAAAATGAAAATATTAATATTGGACTTGATACTGTTTTCAGTTTTCAAAAAAATCGACTTTTATAATTTTTTTCTTTAAATTTTAGCGGCCATATCTTTTTTTCAAAAACCTGTTGAAAAATTTTTGAAGTTTAGATCTAGAATCAGCGTGAAAAAAACTACATCTAATAAATATAGTTTTTACAAAAAAATTCCAATTTCGAAACACCAACACTGACCATTAAAGGCATTATTTTTAAAAGTCTCCCACGGCCAGACTACCGCCAAACGATTACGAAATTCAGCTTCAATTTTTTTATAAACTTCAGCTTTTTCTATTCTTGGCTTTATATCTGAAATTTTTGTGGAAAAATCTGAAAAAAATGACTCAAAACAAGTTTCAAATAGCGTAAAAATCGCCTTTTTGTTATGATTCAGAAACGAATACAGTGAGCTTTTTTACCGTAACTTTTTCCAGAGATCATTTCAAAATTTTTCAAGTTTAGATCTAAAATCAGCGTGAAAAACTGCTTCTTATAAGTATATTTTTTCATATAATTGGAAATTTGAATTAGGACAAAACCCCAGGATATGACGAGTCTACTGTAGAGATATTTCAAAATTCAAAAATTTATCAAAATTTTTTTCGGACTCTAATCTTATCAGGTTTAACCCTGAAAAGTCCTATCAAGTTTTTGAAAAAAGATGAAATGAAAATTTGAAGCGGGGAAAGTTCTTGACTCACGCTCGAATGCACACGCCCGTCATAATTTTTCTGTTGTTTTTGTCTGGTTTTATCATTTTTGATCTCAAATCATTCTAGGAATGGCCAAAATCATTTTCGAAAGGGTTTTTCATCTTGAATCATCGTCAGAAAGGCCAACTTTACTATACGGTGATGCGAAAAGGTTGGAAAAATCAGTGGGAAACAAATAAGGCTGGAAAAATGAGGAAAATTCTGAGGTGGCCTCTATAGGGTTTTGGCGTTTCAGTGGCCACTATAGTAGTCAAATAAATGAAAACTTAAGGGCTTAAATAGTTAGGGGCCACTGTAGAGGTCTAAGTGGTACTACTACATGACTAAAACTACTACAGGTGCCCCTAAAGCAGCCTCTATAGAGATGGTTTTAGTGGCCACTTTAGTGTCCTCTTGGGGAGCCTCTATAGTGGCCACTAAAAACTTTCCCAGGCTGGGAAGGAGCAGAAAAAAGGCGACAGATCTACTGAGTCATCATGATGTAGGTCACAAGATTGTTTAATTTCAGGGAATTGGTTTCTTTTCCCTGTACGAAAAAGATTATTGATCCCTACACTAAAAATTATGCAACGAAAAAACTTTCAGCGCCTTGAAAATGATATTTTCTAACTAAAACACTTATTTAAGTCTACACAAAAATTTGTTCATGTCTAAATTCTTTTGGTTCGAGAGCTTTTGGATATTTTACTATTTTGTAAGTGGATCAGGGGACATTTTCATCAATTTTCGCCCTTTTTCAAATCTAAAAGCTATCCAAAATACAATTCTTGACAAAGGAGCATGGAAAAGAAACGCTAAACCAGGCGCGGAACTAAAAAGTGACGCCTAAATTTCGAAAAGTTGAAGGAAAAAAACGCGTGGGCAGAAAAAGTGCGCCTAAATTCGGAATCGACCCATCAGATTTTTTGAGGCTTTCATGATCCAAATATAGTCCTTCAAAACGCTCTTCAACCAATTTTTAGAGCTTTCTTAAGGAAAATTATGTATCTTCACTCGTTGGAATTTCTTGAGCAGTTCCGAAAATCATAGAGAAAAATTCTAAAAAAATTTTTCAAAGTTCATTTTTCTATACCTTTTTACCATTTGAAATTTCCGTGAACATGTCGAAAATATTTTACAATTTTTGTCTCGAGCTAAATGAAATCTAGATCTACGTGAAGAAAAATAATCGAAAAGTATGGGAGCATCGATTCCAATGCTGAATCAAAAAAGGGGCGTCTAAAATTCGAAAGTTGGAGAAAAAAAAACGCGTAGGCAGAAAAAGGGCGTCTATATTCGGAATCGAGCCATCAGTTTTCAGAAAATAGGAATTTTCAGGGGCTGAGACCTTCAAATTATTGAAAAAAGGCTCGTTTTAGGCAATATAGACTTTTCAATGATATACAGTTCACCTTTATGGAGTTTGACTGAAGTTATGTACATTTTCCGTTTTTCCTGGGCCAACCCGGCCCGTTTTTAGCCTTCATACCTTGGGGAAAAGCCTGCGCGGAATTGGGACAGATTAGGCTTCACTAAAAAATTTCCATTCGTTTAAAATTTAACCAAAAAATTCTTTAATTCTAGTGGAAGCAATTTCTATTGAATTTTGAGTGGAAAAAGAGCCAAAAGCTCAATTTTTGCCGTAAAACATATCTCTTGAAGAAAATTGTGCATTTTGGACCGGGCCAGCTTTCTCGATTGAGGACTTGCTATGGCCGGGCAGAGCCGGGCTTAGAAAATGTCCCGATAGGGTCACGGGTGGGCCCTTTTACAAGCCTAATCACAAGTTAGCGATGAACAAACTACTCATAATTTCGAAAAGCAACCCTTAAAATAATTGAAAATGCCGTAGTTCCAAAAAAGAGACTCTAAATCTGGCGCGTGGGCGGCGCCTAAAATTGAAAAGTTGGTTGGGGAAAAACAGACGAAGCGTGATTCACCGATCGATTCGGTCAAAAAGGCTTAAGACGGTCTAAAGTTCATTTTTTTAAAGCTTTATTTATCACTAGGTCCTGGAAATGTCTGTTCAAATGAACTTTTCAAGAACGATTTTGTAGGGAAAAAATCAAAAAAAAAAGATTATTTCTAACTGAATCTTTAAAAAAAAGCTTTGAATCAGGATTATCAATCTTGCCTAGACAATCAGAAGCAGAAATCGGAAAAGTCTCAAAAAATCGTCTATCTCCTTTGAATCTACCCAGTTTGAGACAAAAATGCTACAAAGCGTCTTTTTAAATGTAGGGCTAGCCCGGCCCTGCCTTCGGGCCTCATTTCGAAACGAGAAATAAAAACCAAAAGTTCGATTTTTGGCGTGAAAAGTCTGCCATTTGACTTGGATAAAACCGCTCTTTTTGGCTTTTTTCAAGGTTTCGCCAAGGCCGGGCCGGGTCGGGCTTAGAAATTGGCCCGGGCCGGCCCTCCTACAAATCTGGCCGCAACTCTTAATAAGCTTTTTGAAACCTTGAAAGCTCCAAAAGACGCTAAAACTAGCGCGCGATCCAAAAAAGCGACGTCTAAAATCGGAAAGCTGGCAGAGTGAAAAAATAAAGGATGCGTGATTCACCGATCGATTCGGTCAAAAAGGCTTGAGACTGCAAAAAGTAGAAAAAGCCTCAAAAAATAAAACAGTCTTTCTTTTCTAAATACACCCAGTTTGGGGCAAAAAATGCTACAGACTGTTCAAATTTTATCAAATTTTTTAAATTTCGGGCCAGCCCGGGGTCCGGACTTCGGGCCTTATTTTGAAACGAAAAAGAACCAAAAATTCGATTTTTGGCGTAAAAAGTCTGTCATTTGACTTGGATAAAAACGCTCTTTTTGGCAGTTTTTTATTGAGGTTTCCGGGCCGGGTCGGGCTCAGAAAATGGCCCGGGCCGGCCCTCCTACAAGTCTGGCCGCAACTCTTAATAAGCTTTTTGAAAGCTTCGAAGTTCCAAAAAAGACGCTAAAACTAGCGCGCGATCCAAAAAAGCGACCGGGCCGGGTCGGGCTTGGAAAATGGCCCATGCCAGCCCTCCTACAAGCCTGACCACAATCCTCAAGCTGTTTGGGAGCTTCAAAGTTCAAAAAAACACGTTAAAACTAGCGCGCGATTCAAAAAAGCAACGCCTAAAACTTGAAAAGTTGGCAGAGTAAAAAAAAAACAAGCGACACGGGTGAGGATACGACTGCGCCAATGGCGGTCCGCAGGGGGCGGGGCCAGCCGTGTGGCTCGACGACGGCGGCCGACCATTTCGCGACGTTTCTCAGCGTCTCGTTCTTCGAATAACGCGACGCAATTGTTCCTTTCCAAATGGCGCTATGCTCTTTTCATGTTGTTGGGAAGAAGGAATGAGCTACGGTTCTTTTTTTGCGTCTTGTTTGTGAGAAGGGACATTTTTACTGCCGTCGACCGTAAAATATTCGTGAAAATTAGTCATGAGGATGGGAAAATGGCGTCGAAAATCGGATCTTGGTTTGGGAAAGTGCAACCTTTTTGTTTACTTTGTTCGGCAATCTAGGAAGTTTTGCATGGCTTATAAAAGAATTAAAAAAGGCTTTTTGGCTTGATAAATCTAATCAAAGAAATTTTCGATATAATTCGAAAAAAATGGCTTGGTTAGTCAGTTTTCGTACTCGAAAGCCAGCAAAAATTTTAAAAATAACCTTTTTTTCGAAAAAACAAAATTCTAGAACGTTCTGATGGTCCTAAAATCACTATAGTCAACTTTTAACATAATTAAAAAATCTCGGCTCAAGAACTAGAAGCTCATTTTAACACTATTAGTTCTTCGAAGATCAGTTTTGAAAAATATTTTTAAAGTCAAAAACCAAAATTTGAAAAATGGTTGAACAAAAATTTTTTACACATGAGAAGATCTGAAAAATCGCCCATATCTGTGGAAAATTTGAAAATATATCTTTCAGAGGATTTTTTAGTATCTCTCTTTTTCCGTTTATAATAGTTATATCTGATTCCGTTCTTTGTAGAATTTTTTTAAAAATGATTCAATTTATAAACTCATCTCTTTTTAAATGCAGCGAAAGTGGATTTTTGGCCATGGAAAAACCATAAAGAAAAACTTTTTCGAATCTCGAAAATATTTCAACATAAAAATATTTCACTTATTTCAAAGATTAATCCAGCAAAAACGTATGCCTTCACAAACTCTCAAAAATATATTTTTCCATTAAAAAATTCAAAAAGTTTCTCATATTTGAAAATTGCCATCTTTTTAGAAATTGCCCAACAAAAGACCATCTCCTATCCATTCGGAAACCTTCTGCTCGGAAACTCCAAAAAAAAATATTCTCGGACATCTGCCATGTTGCAGCTGTGCGCGGGGAACTTTCCTCCTCAAAGGGGGCCAAAAAACAACAATGGTATGCATACCGAGACACTATAAACATTCCAAAAGGGAAAAGCCGAAAATGAACACGTGTGAAGGTCTCGTTAACATCTGGTCGCATATCGGCGTTTCTTCTCAATTAGTGCACTCATTAGGAGGAATTCCTCAACTGGGAGGACAATATATACTTGATGATCTCTTTGATACTTTTTGTCCCGTTTCTGATAAATGATAAGCAAAGATAACTTTTGCAAAACTATCTTCCCTAACCTTACTGGGCAAACTTTTAGTGACCACTATAGGGTTTTGACGTTTTAGTGACCACTATAGTAGTAAAATTAGAGGGCACTTAACGGGTTAAAAATTAGTGGCCACTTAAGGGGTTAAAAATTAGCAGCCACTTAAGGGGTCCAAGTGCTATTACTAGACCACTATAAATTTTAGTGGCCACTTTAGGGGTCAGTGGATCATCATAACTGGCCCAATCTGTTTGTTTTAAAACTATCAGAGTTACTGGAAGGAATACTGGATCAAAAACTACTGAAGTGGCCACTAAAACGGAAAATAGTGGCCACTATAGAGGTGGGTTTAGTGGCCAATTTAGTGTCCTCTCCAAGTAGCCCTTGACGAGCCTCTATAGTGGCCACTAAAATTTTTCCCAGTTCTTTGAAAAAGGCGTTAATAAATTCAAACTTTTCACTAATTAGTGCACTCGTTAATGAACTCCTCCGATAATCTCTTTGATACTCTTTTTCAGGTTCTTATATCATGGGAGTTCTGTGGCTGTAAAGCTCCGGGGAATTCTGAAAGGATCTTGAATTAACAAAAAATGTTTTTTGAACTTTCAAATTTTATAATTCCTCTTTCAAAAAATGTATACCTTCCGATTTTATTTCGTAAAACTTCAACTTCATTTTATTTATCATTCTAAAAAGGAAAAGGCCATGAGAATCGGCTTGTAAAGTTTTCTGAGTGGTTTTTTCCACAGAAAATATTTTTTAGAGGCTTGAAACATAAGCGCAAAACGTTAAAAGTCCAAAAAAAATTGAATTATATTTTCCAACAGACGCACAAGTTTGTTTTCTCACAGTCTGAAGTGGAATATTATATTCTTCTATGCGTCCACTAATAAAAAAATCGCAAAAAATCAACTAAAAAAAAAAATTAAACTTTACAAGAAAAAAATCATTTTTCTTTTCAAAAATGGAACAGCTCGGTTACAAAAAAAAGTGTGTGGAAAATTTCAAAAATTCAAAAAATTTACGCGTCTTCTAGTTCCATCCTAACACTTAAATTCTCTGGAAAAAGTTTTTGTGAAAAAAATTTCTGGCTTTTTTATTGAGAAAAAACCTTTTTTATAATCCAATGAACTTATTTTTTTGATAGTTTACCAAATCTTTTTTTACGAAAAATAAATAAATAAAAAGACATGATTTCTGTAAGGAAAAAGTATTTTTTAAAAAAAACTTCAAGAAGTCAAAATTAGCCTAAAAAACATTTTAAATTTATAAACTAAAAAATTAAACTTACCAGAAGAAGCTGAAAATTGATCCCCGCTGAATGTTCCCTAGTTGTCATACTTTTTTCAACCTCTGCTCGGATCTATGAGCCATTTTTTTCCATTTTTGGTAATCCCTGGGAATTTCTGACTGAAAATAAAGCAATTACACAAAAATATTTTTCTTAAACCTCCATAAAAAGTTCAATTTGACCTGATTTCGAAAAACGTTTTCCTTCTGAAAATTTCCTACCAGCTCCATCAATTTATCAGAACTTCTCTGGCCTTTTTCACGTGGAACAAAAAAAGATCATTTCATTTCCATTCTTCCAAAGAAAATATAACGACAAAATTATAGTGATTATTTAACAAGATTCCAACAAACAGGATGATGATATCGATTACAAAACAGCAAATTGTTCATAGAAAATGTTTCGGAGCGAATAATAATCCTTGGAGAAGGCGCCTTCCAGTGAAAACGAGCCCGTGTCGGCGCGACGGATCGAAAATGCACCTGTAAACTTGGAAAATCACCTTCAGAATAGATCGATAAATCGATAAAAAAATCATGAAGATGAAACTCCGGCTTCTCTTTTTTCAGAAATTCCAGAAAAATCAGTTCTTTAATTTCAAGTGGACACTAAAGTGATTTTCTAAAGAGGCCACTAAAGGTCTCAGAATCGTCGGGAAAGCTTGGAGGACTCCTTTGAGTGATTAAAATTGATTTTTAAAAATTCAGGGCGTTGAGAGGCCTATAGTGATCACTAAAGTGGGGTGAACGCCTCTCACAGAAGTACCTTCATATCAATTTTTTCGAAAATTTTCACTGAATTTTTCAATATTCCTCATACATGGGATAGTCTCAGTGGGACCAGAAAAGAGGAGAGGCAAAAACAAGAAAAGGGGGTTGGTGAAAAACTTTAAAAACAAAAACAAAAATTCCTTTTTTAAAGTTTAATAGACAGGCAGAAGCGAATTTTTGTTAAGTCAAAAAGTGATCGGAAAAAATTCTTTTCATTTTCAGATTCAGGTATGATATTCCTCAAGCCACAGTCTGTCAGTCATAAATAAAAATGTCAAAACTTTCCAAATTTTTCATTGATTTGGAATTGTTTAGCTGATTTTTGTAGAATCCCATTTTATTTCTAATGATTGATTAGATCAGATTTTTTTTTTCATTTTGCAAACCTCCATTGATCTGCAGGGAGCCCGCCTGGAACTCAGCCTTGTATCCCTTTTCCACCAGGACGTTTTTGAACTCGGAGAGCTTGGGATCGTTTACATAGACGGCCTAGAAAGGGGCTTTTTTGTGTTCCGAAAAAGGTCCAAGTCAACCTCATGACAGGGAATTTCCTTGGAAGTGAGGACTTCGAGCATGAGATTGCCTCGAAGACGTTCCCTCAAGGAATGTTGCTTGGCCCGTGATTTGAGCTCATCTTCGTCTTCTTCTTTGTTCTCGTCGACCTGAGAAAAATTCGAATATTTCAAGGTTCCAAGCTTTTTTGGAGCATAGAACTAATTATATTTACCACTTTCGGTACTAGTAATTAGTCAGAAGCTATATTTCTTTAAAAAAAAGACCCGCGGACCCGAAAAAGATCCGAAAATTTTTAGTTTATACTTTTAATCCAATACATGACCAAAAACCGATCAAAAATGATTCCAACTTCCAAGTTTCAGGAAGCCCAGCGCCCACCTGTACAGCAACGAAAATTAGATTAAGGAAATGTACGATTCCCAGGAACGCGAATATTACTGAAAAGGTCCGTCTAATCATCTTAAAAATTGGAAATGCGTGAGAAAATCGACGTCATATTTTCCCGATGTGAGGTCTGGAAGAATTTACTGTCAACAAGGCGTCAAGGAAAATTTTCAGGGGTCGGTGAATATTTTTCAGTTGCTTAACGTCAGATTGGTCCATATATTGGCACCTTAAATGCTTTTGAAGGTTCCCCTCCAGGGACCACCTACAGCTTGCGAAAGTGGTCACTCCAGGGGAAAAAAATAATGAGAAAAAAATTAGAATAAAAAAATTTAAAAAAACTAATCAATCAAGTTTTTATTTTTCTACTGTAGAGGCTATTTTTTTCCTCTAACCCCTCTAGTGACCACTCCAACGTCTCTGGGTGATTCGAAAAATCTTTTTACGAATAAAAATCACTCAATGACTTTATTAAGGCCTCATTATTTTGATCAAAGTAAGTTATTAAGTTTTTCTCAAAAGACTTTGTCAACTTTTTCCTGTAGGACGGTTTTCTTTCCATTTTTTTTCCGGTCTGAAGGAAGGCTTTTCTATAATTATCTAAATACTGCTAATCTTGATAAAAATCTGCTTCTTCTGGTGGAAAAAAAACCATCGTTCAAGTTTGAAAAATGCGAAAAACGGCCTAAATTTCCAGAAAATTACCGTGTAAACTTCGATTTTAGTTGTTTTTTTAAACATGTACGATGAAAACCCATTGCCTAAATGAAAAATCAAAGAAATAAAAGAAACTTTGAAACAGGGATCAGGTGAATAATTATTGTTACTTTTCAAAGATCAAACTATAATAACTTTTCTATTTTCCAAGTGATTTTGGTTGAGTTTAGCTAATCTTAACTTTAAAAAAAATCCCATGAGTTTGCCAAAAAGGTTTCAATTATCCAGTGTAAAAAAATGGCAAGAATGGCCCAATTTTTCCAGAAAATCACTGTAAAAATTTGAAAAAGAAGGAAAAATCAAAAAAATAAATAGTACTTTTTTTATTATTTAACTATGATAATTGTTTCTTATTTTTCAAAGCCTTCTATCCAAAATTAAAATCGAATTTTTCGAGAGCAAAAATGTGATTTTTTCAAACTTCAAAACAACATTTTCAGTCATTTTGGTCCCTTTTCTCATTAGAAAAAATTTTCCACGATTTTTTTTTTCGATTTCTCACCTCCATCACCTCGTTATCACCCTGGGGTACAGTATCCGCCTGATCGGAAATCATACTGTCCATCGATTCTTTTTCGATGATCCTGGCGTCGATCCAAGCCAGGGCATTACCATCAGGGGCCTGGAAAAAATCAATATTTTTTTTTTGGTAGATTCCAAAGTGCTGTTGGTACTAATTAAAAAAATTAGCAAATCTTTCAATTTTTCCAAATTTTTTTCGCCTGATCCTTTTCCGACTTTTTTTGTCAATCCTTTTTTTCGTTTTTTTGGAAGTCTCATAAATAATTTATAATTTAATTTAACAAAGGAAAAATGAAGGAAAAGCCTATGGAAGAATTATTTTTCGAAAAACCTCAAAAACTGAAAAATTCACAATTTCCAATAAAATCGATTTTTTTAATTCGAAAAAAATGTTCAACTCAAAAATGTCAATTTTTAGCCTTATTTTTTTCATTTTCAAGTACATTTCCTTCATAATAAACTATGAAAAAAAAAGTTCATTTTTCAAATTTTGCTTACAGTAATCCTCAAAAGGGGGCGGAACCTGTCAAAACCTTAACTAAAATTTCCAGAGGCTTGTTTAGTTATTATGATTTCCAAGTCGCGAAGTTAAACCTATAGGAAAAGCTCCAAAAAAGATCCAGGCTATTAGGAATATCTTGAAAAAATCTCCTTTTGGAGCCTTTTTGAAGTTTATTTTTCGTGGTTTCATCCGGAACTTTAGGCGAATTGAGAGATCTTTACCCATTTTCCAATAAACAAAGACAATGAAACAGGAAAATGGTGGAAAAATCAGAAAGTCGGAAGGTCCCTCCGAGGGTCCATAGGGCTGCTGGAAGGCTCCATAGAAATGTTCCTTTTTTGCTGCCTTTTTGCGCCATTTTCTCAGCCCTTATGCACTATAGTTTCGAAAATTGACCGTTCGACCGACCGTTCGACCAATATTTTTTCAACATGTCATAATAAATGGTCATTGGTCGAACGGTTGGAGTTTCAACATTTCAACATGTCACTTCAGAATGACATGTTGGTTTTTGACCGTTCGAAATGTCACTCTGAAATTGGTCGGTCATTTTTCGAACGTTCGAAATGTCACTTCGAAATTGGTCGGTCATTTTTCGAACGTTCGAAATGTCACTTCGAAAATGGTCGGTCAGTTTTTGACCGTTCGAAATGTCACTCTGAAAATGGTCGGTCATTTTTCGAACGTTCGAAATGTCACTTCAAAAATGGTCGGTCAGTTTTTGACCGTTCGAAATGTCACTCTCAAAATGGTCGGTCATTTTTTGACCGTTCAAAATGTTACTCTTGAATTGGTTGGTCATTTTTCGACCGTTCGAAATGCCTATTCGAAAATTTTCTCTTACGCTGGAAGTGAGGGCTCGTGCGCGAGACACATTCCTTCTTACTGCGTTCCAGTCTTTCACGTGCAAACTTTGAGCCGTCATAATTTGACTACGAGGCAAAAGGCGAGATATTTTATTTTTGATTTGGAATCAGCATGCCTTAAAGTACACCCCTGCGAAGTTTCATCAAAAGTTCAACCGGGGGATAAAAACAGTTTCCTTGTCAGAGTAACTAGGAGCTTACTCATTATCACGAAGCACGCGGAGTTTTCTCAAAATTCCATACTTTTCGCAAACGTTGATTCAATTTATTTCATTTCAGACATTTCAAACTTTTTTCAGTCAAATTTCGATCGTTTGAAACGCCATTTCAAAATTGGTCGTTCATTTTTTGACCGTTCAAAATGTCACTCTTAAAATGGTCGGTCATTTTTCGAACGTTCGAAATGTCACTTCAAAAATGGTCGGTCATTTTTTGACCGTTCGAAATGTCACTCTGAAAATGGTCGGTCATTTTTTGACCGTTCGAAATGTCACTCTGAAAATGGTCGGTCATTTTTTGACCGTTCGAAATGTCACTCTGAAAATGGTCGGTCATTTTTTGACCGTTCGAAATGTCACTCTGAAAATGGTCGGTCATTTTTCGAACGTTCGAAATGTCACTTCAAAAATGGTCGGTCATTTTTTGACCGTTCGAAATGTCACTCTGAAAATGGTCGGTCATTTTTTGACCGTTCGAAATGTCACTCTGAAAATGGTCGGTCATTTTTCGAACGTTCGAAATGTCACTTCAAAAATGGTCGGTCATTTTTTGACCGTTCGAAATGTCACTCTGAAAATGGTCGGTCATTTTTTGACCGTTCGAAATGTCACTCTGAAAATGGTCGGTCATTTTTCGAACGTTCGAAATGTCACTTCAAAAATGGTCGGTCGGTTTCGTAAATTTCAGAAATTGGTCGGTCAAACGAACGGTCAGAAAAATGACATGTTATAACCGTTCGAAAAACTGAACGGTCATATCAGTTGAACGGTCTAATTGGTCGAACGGTCGAATTTTAGAACACTATTATGCACCATTTTTGTTGCCTCTCCCGTTTTCCACCATTTCTTGAGCCTTCAAAGTCCCAGAAAAAATGGAAGGCTTGATAAAGGGACCTTTTTGCGGCCTTTCTGATCCCTTTTTGCTCCCATTCTGCTGCCTTTCTGCACCCTCTCTGTAGCCTTTTTGCACCCTTTTTCCTGCCTTTCAGCGGCCATTATCCACCATTCCGACTTTGCCCTTCCTACTCTCGAAAATCCCTGTACCTCATGGAAATTGATGTCGGCCAAGATGGCGTCGCTCAAGGCGACTTGATAGATGTACGATTCCACGGAGGCGTCGACCCATTGGCCAGCGTTCGGAGCCTCGATTTTGTCCTGAGAGTTTTATTCAAGTTATAATAATTTTCTCTATCCGGTTCATTTTTCGGCATGAAACGGTCAAGGTTGCAGAACTGAACTTTAATCAAAAATATAAGAGCGAAATTTTTTTCATCTAGGAGAGAACGATTATATCTCCCTCATACATCACTTATACTTTTTCTATACTACCTAATGTTTTTTTATGGCAATGAATAAACTATTATTATTATTGTTATATGAAAAAAATATTATTACAATCAATTTTACCTGATTTGAAAGGCGGGAGGGGTGACAAGGATCATGAAAAAAAGTAGGGAAGACCAGGTTTTTAATAAATTTCATGGAATTCGTTCAAAAAAACTTTCTCCCAACCTTTAAAATTACTATTTATTGAAAAACTGTAAACAAACGGGGGGCTCGCGTTTGACCTCAGTTCGCCCCCCTCGCCTTTCAAGCCGGTAAAATTAACTATAACTGGAAGAAAATAATCGAAAAAATGTTCTTATATCCACGAAAAGCTCAGAAACAGATATACGGAAGACGGAAAAAAATGCCACTTTTTTTGATTTTTCCTAAGGTACGGTAGCCTAATGAAAATTGATTTTTTTGATATCTTACCCATACTCCTTCCCTATTATCAACTATTTTTCTCATGAAAAATTTGTTATTTTCAGAAGATCCAATCAAAATTTTCTTGTATAATCTCTGCAGCCATGTTGGGAGAAATACAGAAAAACAATGACGAAAAAAGCTTCAGATAAAAGTTTTACCGGATCCATTCCGTTGTCCCTGAAATACGACGCCAATTCTCTCGTGTCTTGACCCGATCCGTGGATAATTATCACTTGACGAGGCATCAGATTCAGCAAAAGTCGTTTCGTGGATTCTCCGTCGGCGATTCCTTCGTATTCGATGAATTCCACGCGGCAGAGGACCTTCAAGTAGGAAACTCTTGTATAGTCTGTTCAAATTTTGGGTGTCAAGTCATCGCTCAAGCTCCGCCCCTTTATGGCTGAATAAACCAATCATAGAGCGTTTTCGAATGACGTCATTTTACTTGACATTCAAAATCTGAACAGACTATAGTGATCTTGACCAAATAAAAAAAAAACTGAAGTTTTACTAAAAATAGAAATTTTAATCAGCAATATTGAGAAGAAAATATTTTAATGATCCGTTTTTCGAGGTTCTCCTTGCCTCTCAGCGACTCTCTCATGTTTACATGCTATTTTCATGTTTCTCTGACATCGCCGGTGAGAAAACAGAGTTCGGAATTTTTGAGTAGTCCCTATAGGGGTTAGGAGGGAAAAGAGCCTCTCTAGGGGACGCTAAAGTTCAATTTGGTTCCTGGTTCCTATAGGGGTAAAATTAAGGTATCCCTACAGGGGTTCAGGGTCTGACCTCTACGTCAAGTAAATTTTATTCAAAAAAGGTTATTTTTTTTAGTTTTTCGCATGGAAAAGCTTCTTCACCCAGATTTCATAAAAGTTATCGGCTAGCAAGTCCCCTATAGGGACCACTTTTGCAAGCTTTAGTGGTCCATATAGGGTTGGTAAAGTGGTGTGGGGACCCTCCAAGGGCCCTTTTAGGGACCACTCTGAAGATCCTAAGGAGAGACGCTCGAAAACTGTCTAGCCGCAGTGAATGGACTATGGACGGCTTGGATACCTCTGGAAGGGGCGTGGCCTGCCTGCGCTCTCCAACAACCAGACACTCTCTTTTCTTATCGTGTCAGGACCCATTTTTGATACCTCAGCCGTGAATCGATTATTCCAATGCGTTTTTTAGATAACCTGTATTGATAAGCTTTTGCCATTAACCCAAAAAATTCAAAAAACGTCAGAGAAATGAAAAAGATAACTAGATTTCGGAGAGTCAGAGATGAATCCCAGTACCTCGGTTCTTCTCTTGAACTCGACACACTTGGTGGGATGTTCCTCGACGACGGGCTCGGCCATTTCTTCGTCTTCTTCTTCCTTTTTGACGTTGTCCTGGACGAAAATCGAGGTGAAACAGGGATGTACTCCAACTCCCACCTGTTCCGATTCACTGTTCTTTCTCGGCTCCAGCTTGGCAGCTATGATATAGTCATCCGGCCGGATTATCTCACCGTAATCATCCATCTAAATTTATATTTGAGAGAGTGTGAAAAAAGCTTTGAATATTTTTTGGAAGGATTCCAAAACTGACCCGAACTTTCTCCTCCATGAACGGGTACATCGGGAACGATTTCTTGGTGGTTTTGAAGAAAGATGTCCTGAAATCCCATTTTGATACAATTTTGAGTGTCTGACAAAAAAAAGCTGCAAAAAAACGAGCTAAAAATAAGAGTCAAAGACAAATTACCAGAAAATGACATTTGCTCTACCGATGACAGAAAAAAAAAAATTTGATGTGAAACTATAAAATCCCTTCAGCGACGTCTCTTAGCTGTCCCCTACAACTGCTCAGAACCGTCCGGGGCGTGTCCGGTTCGCTTTACCGATCCTTTCATCTGTGTTTTGCATGGAAACGGAAGAAACATGCGAAAAATGTTCTATAGCCTTTTTTTTTCGAAATTCTTCATCAAAACCTTTTTAAATAATACAAAATCGAAACTAAAGTCATTTAAAATGAAAGAAAAACACGACTTGATATAGCTGATTCACGGCTGGCTTGAGCCATCGAAAAAAGGGTCCTGACACGATAATGCACGAGATAGCGCCTGGATCGTGGAGAGTGCAGAGAGACCACGCCCCTTAGCGTCCCAAGCTAGCCGTGAATCAGCTATAAAAGCTAGAGCCTCATTTTGGCTTTAGTTATCGGTGGAGCGCAACAAGCTCCTGACTTTTCTTTTTTGCTGGCTTTTTTTTCTCAAGCAGTGCGCGATTCTGGCGGCTCGCTTGACATATAATCGTTTTTTTTTCCGTACTTTTGCTGATTTTCCCATTTGGCCAAGATGTCGAAGTTGGAAGTTTCGTCGTTGACGTCCGGAACAATGCCGGTCTCCGCCGCCATTGACCGGCGATAGTCTGAAAAGAAACTTTTGGGTGTTTTTTTCGAAACAAAGGGAAAACCGCGAAGGCTTTGTTACAATGGGATCGGACTTTCCTTTCACTAGGAAAGGGTCTCAACCAAAACGGGGACTTTTGATAGAGACT